CCCCCCCCCCCCCCCTTTAGAGTTGCACATTTGTCTAACAGCGTTCATGCATTAGCATGCTTGACGGATGATATCAAGAGGGAACTGCAGATAAATGCGTACGACCTTTGTGATATTAGGTACACCAGAACTCACGTCCACGTAGCATACGGAGAAACAATATATCCAGTACCGGCATATGAGGAGTGGTTTGCCAATGGTCTAGAACTCTAGCATGTAAAACCACCAAAAAAGAAAAAGAAAAGGGGGAGGCCACAAACAAAGTGCATTCCATCAGCAGGAGAGAAGAGAAGGACTTCGGATTTGACCTCCACTCGATGTCATAACAAGGGACATACAATACGGACTTGCAGCAAAAATACACAAGAAAAACCAGAAGCAGAAGAAAACACACAAGAAACAGATTCGAATATCGAACCCGAAACAGAGTCTGATAATGGAGAAGAAATTTAGTGACAAAAGGTTTTGTTTCGATGTGTTCATTTTGGTAAACCTCTATTTCATTTTAGTAAACATCTAATTCAATTAGGTTCATGGTTTTATTTCGACATGTCGACAAAAGGTTGTCGTAGTCGACTTTCGGGCGTAAAGATTTCAAATCGACCACTTATATAATTCAATTTCAAATACATAGGTAGACATGATCCACCAATCAGTCCAATAATATTTTTGCTTATTTCGTATTGGGATGGTGTGGAGGTAGTCAATGTTCTGGGTGATGGGTATATCCTTATACCCGACCCGGATGATCAAAAGGGGCAAGTCACTATATGACCGGTCACTTTCATCTATCACTAAATGAGGTTAATTCTTCGATTGGGACAAGTCAAAAGTTGACCAGTCTTTTTCCTCAAAAAGTGACCGGTCACATTTTGGGCGATAGCCAAAAATATCACCTAATGTTACGAAGGATATTCTAGAGGACCAAAGAGACGGGCTGAACTCAAAAGATGACCGGGAAACCTTTGAGGAAAGGTGACCGGTCACGTAACTTGACTTGGCTAACATTGGTCTAGTCTCTTAGGCAGGGCGAACCACGTCAAAGGTCAAGGGAACACCCCGCCGCTCATCCATCACGAGGCACACAGTGAAAGGGGTGTTTGTCATTTTGCAGGGTTGATTGGATTGAGAATATCCATTTTAGTCTTTGATTAAACAGTGTCTTGGCTTGTAGCTATTAAAATCTATGATTGTACAGTGCTTCAATTAACTACAGTGACCTTCCCACGGGCTTCCTATTTTGTCCATGGATGAACAGGGGAAGGTCACAAATCCTCCTCTATAAATATGATGATTGTGGATAGAGGAGGGGATCCAATTTTTCTCTCACTAAAGTTCACTCTTGAGATAGAGTAAGAAATATAATTCGGAATGAGGAAATTTACCCAGTCTAGGTCATACTTTGTGTTCTTGTTGTGTGTATTTTATTGACGGGTCGAGTTTGTCCAGGTCAAACTCGGTTATCCCACCCATCTATATTTACACCATCATTTTTGGCGCCCACCGTGGTACCTATTTGTAAAAGTTTTCGACCAGGTCAAAACTTTACCCCCACTAAATATCCACAATCATGTCTTCAATCAACCACAACACTGTGTCAAGCCAGGCTGCGAGTGAAAGCACTCGTGCCATCCCGCTAATGATAACGAGCATGGGGACGACCTTTGCCCCGATCACCACTGTAGGATCGATTGGCATGATCCCAATCATGTCGACCCCTACTCCTACGCCAACAACAACAATGTTCCCAGGCTCGATAACAATGCCTGGGGGAGCATTCACACCATACCCGTCTAGCTTGGCTCAATTTGTTGCTGACCCGGCAAGTGCTCAAGCTCTGCAGGGCTATCAACAGGTGATGGCCATGATGCAACAGGAAGAGGGCTTCATGCCATTTGCCTATCCTGGCATGATGGCACCAATTATGCCACCCCTAGTGTCGACCCCATCGACATTTGTCCCTAGGATGATCCCTATACGCTCGGTGAATTTGACAGGGACCATGAACGAAGCGGCACCTTCAAATGTCCATGAAGTCGACGAGGCGGAGCAAGAGGCGGCCCGCAGAAGAAAGGGTAAGGCTATAGCCAAACCTAGCAAGACCCGAGATTCAGCGTTCAAACGCCTAAGGGACAAAGAGGATGGACCCCGCAAGTCTACCAAGCTACGTCTTGGTCTTGAGATGGGCCAGACTAGCGCAATGGAAAGACTTGGCGGGAATCGTCCCGCCCAATCTCGTCGTTCTAGGGAATCTGAGACGATTTACCTAGACGAGGAGGAAGCTGAAAGCTAGCCCAGGGCATCGGCATATACCAGGCTCTCATACGATGAGGATGACCTGGACAAGATAGGGAGCGTAGCGAGAAAGCTACGTGCCCTGGAGGAAAAGGTGGAAGAAAAGGCGGGAGTGAAAAAGCACACTCTGGCCAAATCTCCCTTTTCGGACAGGGTACATGCACAAAAGTTAAGGCGGAAGGTCAAGCTAGACGTGGAGAAATTCACTGGAAAGGAGGATCCAAACCTCCACCTTGACACCTTCCATAATGTTGCGCAAATGGCCGGGTGCACTGATGCTGAGGAGTGCCTAATCTTCTTCTCATCCTTGAGAGGGAGACCAGTGGAATGGTTTAATGGCCTTCCCCATGGCAGGATTGGGTCCTTTGAGAAACTTGCCGAAGTTTTCCGTAAGAAGTACCAGGACAATTGCATCAAAAGGAAGAAGTTAACCTATCTTAACACGGTAGGGCAGAGGGAGAAGGAGTCCTTGACTCAATTCTTAACCCACTGGAGGGATGAGGTTGATAAAGTAGAAGAGATGGATGATAAGACAGCCATGTCTTTACTGATGAATGCCTTCCAGTCTGGTGACCTCTACACTGAATTCTGTAGGAGGCCACCCTCCTCCTACCAGGAAGCTTACAATACGACATGGGAGTATGCCGAGGCGGAGGTCCTTAACAAAAGCAAGCAGGAGCTGGAGGAAGGCTATACCAAGGTGAAAACCGACAAGCCGAAGAAAGACGATCAGACGGGGGGGTCCAAGCCGAGGGCCACGTATGACGGGTCTGTCCATCAAATAAGGGATGAGAAGAAAGGAGAACAACCCAAGCGGGCTTGGACAGAGAAGTGGTGTACCTACCACCAATCCAACTCCCACAATACGGCAGATTGCCGAAATGTCAAGGCTGTACTCAAGGAGATGGCCTTGAAGGGAGAGCTTGGGGAAGGTTATGCGACGGGAAACAAGAAAGATCCGAAAGCTAACACCTGGACCCGTCCTCAAGAAAAGGATTAGGGAAGGAGGAAAGGCAGGGATAACAATAAGCCGGATAAAGAGTTCATTGAGATGATCGTTGGCGGCCCGGAAGGCGGTGATACTACCTCCTAGCGGAAGAACTGGGCAAGGAGTCTACATGTGTCGGTGGTCTCCCTAGAATCACATGGGAAGCAGGCAAGGAGAGAGCCTTTCACTTTCACTGATAGGGATCTGCCCAGGACGGGGGGAGATCACAATGACCCTTTGGTCATTACAATGGACATCAACGGGGCTGATGTGGCCAGAGTCTTAGTTGACACCGGGAGCAGTGTCAATGTTTTATACTTGGATGCTTTTAAGAAGCTAAAACTTGACAGGTCCATGTTAAGGCCATTACAAACTCCATTGTTGGAGCCAGAATAGAAGCGAAAGGTCAGATCACCTTACCGGTTATCTTGGGGTCGGGTAACAAAAAAGTGACCAAACAAATGAGATTTGTTGTGGTCGATATCAAGTGTGTGCATAATGCCATTCTGGGTAGGCCTGGAATCAACCAGGTCAGGGCCATCATTTCTATGGCACACCTGTGCATGAAATTCTATACTCCCAATGGGATCGGGGAGGAAAGAGGTGACCAAAAGAATGCGCGGTCCTGTTACCTGGAAGCAGTCAATAAGATGACCCGCCAGTTCGAACAAATTGAACTGGTCTCCAAGCAGGTAGACAAGGGTGAGGGGAAGGCTAGGATCGAGCCGGATGCAAACACAGAGGAGATCCAGATTGATACCTCTAATCCTGAAAGGAAGGTCAGGATCGGGGCTGATCTTCAAGAGGAGCTAAGGACTGAGATTGTCCAGGTGCTGACCAGGTATAAATCTTTGTTTGCCTGGAGTGTTGTCGATATGCCCGGAATTGACCGGTCAGTCATTTGCCATCGTCTCTCTTTTCTTGAGGGGTCTAGACATGTAAGACAGAAGAAGAGATTCTTGGCAAGTGAAAGGAGGTACTTTGTCAAGAAGGAGGTCAAGGACCTACTTGAGGTAGGTCATATCAGGGAAGTAAACTACCCTGAATGGCTGGCCAATGTGGTCCTGGCCCCGAAGGGTGATACCTGGAGAATGTGCGTGGACTACACAGACCTCAACAAGGCATGCCCAATTCATTCTTATCCTCTCCCTAGCCCAGACCAAATGGTGGACGAAATTGCTGGGTGTGAGTTGCTCAGTTTCATGGATGCCTTCAAGGGGTATCACCAAATATTCATGGCGGAAGATGATGAGGAGAAGACGGCCTTCCTCACTCCGAACGGTACATACTGTTACAAAGTGATGGCCTTTGGGTTGAAAAACTCAGGGCAACTTACCAGAGGATGGTCAACAAATTGTTCGGGCCTTTGCTTGGATGGACCATGGAGGCATATGTCGATGATATGCTGGTGAAGAGCAGGGCAGCCAGCACACACGCTCAGGACCTGGAAAAATGCTTTGAGATTATGGCCAGGCATAATCTTAGACTTAATCCAAAGAAGTGTGTTTTTGCTGTGAGGACGGGGAAGTTCCTGGGCTTCATGGTCACAAAGAGGGGGATTGAGCCAAACCCTGAAAAGATCAAGGCCATTGTGGAGATGCAACCCCCGACATCGGTAAGGGATGTCCAAAGGTTAATAAGGCGCTTGGCGGCCTTAAACCGGTTCATGTCCAGGCCAGCAGAGAAGGCTTTGCCTTTCTTTAAAGTTTTAAAGAAAGCCAATACCTTCCAATAGGATGACGAATGTGCCAGGGCATTCGAGGAGCTAAAAACGTACCTGACTTCGGACATTGTCTTGTCTAAGCCAGAAACGAAGGAGACGCTATACCTCTACTTGGGGGTAGCCCAGATGGCCGTTAGCTCGGTCTTGATGAGGGATGATGTGGTCCAGAGACCCATCTACTACGTGAGCAAGGCCTTAAATGGGGCGGAAAGTAGGTATACTCCTACAGAAAAAGCAGGGTATGCACTCTTCATAACAGCAAAGAAACTCACCTCCTACTTCCAGGCCCACCCCATCGTCGTGCTGACTGACCTACCATTGGGCACGGTCATGAGGGACTCCACCTCATCAGGAAGAATGATCAAATGGGCCATGTTAGCCTTGGTTTGCTAAGCCTCATGTTTTGATGTTAACAAACAATATAAGAGCTTAACGTTTGTTTAAGTGTTTTAGGAAAAACAAGAATCGATTAAGATTCGGTACTCAAGAATGAAGTCGAAACACTAAACTAGCGTAGAATATAGGTAGAAACCAATGTAAGGATATGATTTTATATACCTATATTCACAAGCTCAAAAACACTAACAAAACATGTTTAAAACCCTTTTATAATCATTTTCAAACATCCAAAAGGTTTTAAACAAAATTGGAAATGATTTGGACAAAAACAAAATTGTCAAAATGGTCATAAGGTACCTAGGTACCGTACGCACGGGACCCCCCTACCGTATGGACGGGACCCCCCTACCGTAAGGGGTACCGTACTAAGATAGGTACCACCAGAGAGTTTTGGCTTGAGAAGGTACCTAGCTACCGTAAGCACGGGACCCCCCTACCGTATGGACGCGTATGGACGGGATCCCCCTACCGTGACCGTTGGATTACTATTCTAAGTGTGTCCATCCTTTTATTAATTATTTTAAATATTTTGGCTATTTTAAGAGCCTTAAATTCCTAATTTTTATACACACACTTTAAGCTTGTGTTTCTAGTTATATACTCTCATATTCATAAGTTTATATTGTATTTTTTGAGAGAGTATAATTTCCTTCTACACCGGCTAAGTTTTGTTCTTCATTTTTATATTCAAACCGTTGTGTAGAACTCTTGTTTGTGTTTTTCAAACACATCTTTATACGGTCGAGAATAGCCGTTAAATTCTCATATTGTAACGGTCGAGGATAGCCGTATAAATCCTTGGGTAAAGGTTCAAGGATAGCCTTTGAAATCCTTGGGGGAACGGTAGAAGATAGCCGTTAAATCTTCGTTGTAAACGGTTCGAGATAGCCGTTGTGAAATCTCGAAGTGAATCCTATTGGCAAGGGTTTTTTGCCAAAACTAGTGCGGTGCTTTGACGGAGTTCAAGAGGCCGAGACTTAGTGGATTCGGAAATCCTTGAGGAGGAGCCTTGAGGTACTGGAGTAGGGGTTTCCCGAACCAGTATAAAATCGGTGTGCATTTTATTTATGCTTTTATTTCTGTGTTTTATATATTGCTTTCGCATTTGCCAACACCGTTTTTATCAAACTCCGAAAAGATTTTAAATGCCTTATTCACCCCCCCCCCTTTAAGGCGTGGGCACAACGTCTAAACTGACTAACAATTGGTATCAGAGCGAGGAAGCAGGCTCGAATCCCCCGGGTGTCGCTAGGGGGAGATTGTTGGTCTTATGGGGGACCATCAATCACCCTTAGGGATTCGCTACTGTGCTTGTCACGGTATCGGGTATTGACAGCCCAACCTTACCAGGTACATGAGTCGTGTATCTTGCGAAGCCCCTCCTGTCCATCCACCGCTCAGTAGTGGGGCTCCGCACTGCCGTAGTGAACTATAGGGGGTGCCTTATAGGAATCTACCTCGGCTTGGGGCTACAGAGAGATGTGGTTAAATATAAAGTGTCCACCTTCCTATCACCAATTTGTTTTAGGAAGCATTTGGCACCTCTTTAACTTCAGAACTCTGTAGTTAAGCGTGCTGGAACGGGAGTAGTCCCAAGATGGGTGACCCACTGGGAAGTTCCAGAAAACGATCCTACAAGTGGTATCGGAGCAAAGGTCGCTAGTTCCGATTTCCAACGGGAGCAATTGCTGAGGGGGAGATTGTTGGCCATGTGTGTGCAGCAATTGTCCCGTGGCGAAGGCTATGTGGGCCAAGTCACAATCGAATGTCGTGGGCGCTTGTGTGACGAATGCACTATAAGGCTAGGGTATGCGCCTCTTCTAACACCAATTGGGTTTAGAAGAGTTGGTAGAGCCTGAGGTCCTACACCATGATGCTTACCTAGTTCAACATTGAATATCGTCCGAGGATGGCGATAAAAGGGCAGGCTATGGCTGATTTTCTTGTGGAGATGACGGGTCACCAGGAAGAAGAACTGGCCAGGGCCATCACTGAGCCTTGGTGGTCCATGTCAGTCGATGGAGCCTCTGGACCGAAACGTTATGGGGGAGGTGTGGTATTCACAACTCCAGAAGGGTTAAGGTATATCATGCCTTGATTTTTAATTTCAAGCTCACAAACAATGAGGCCGAGTATGAGATGTTGATAGGGGGTCTGAGATTGGCCAAAACCCTACAAATCACATGCCTCAAGATCAAGTCCGATTCAAGCCTGGTGGTAGGCCATATCAATGGCAACATGGAGGCCAAAGGAGAGAAGATGCAGAAGTACATAGACTTGGCAAGGGCACTATTGAAGGACCTAACTCAGTATGTGATGGAGCAAATCCTTAGGGGGGAGAACACTAATGCTGACTTGCTATCAAAATTGATGCAAGCAGCCCCGGAGCATGTGTCCAAACTGGTCAGGATTGAGACGCTGGAGAAAGCCAGCATTGAAGGGTTTTCTGTTAGCGTGATAGAGGAAGATGGACAGTCCAATCCAGATCGAGTGGAGCGAGATGATGTTTGGATGGATGATTTGGTCAGGTATTACATGACCGGGCAATTCCCTGAAGACGAGGACATGGTAAGAAAAGTAAAGTTGAGGGCTCCAAGATTCCAAATGCTTGATGGAAGGCTATACAAAAGAGCATTCGGCGGTCCCCTGCTAAGGTGCTTTACCAGGGCAGAGGGGGAAAGAGTAATCGCCGAAGTTCATGACGGTGTCTGCGCAGCCCACCAAATGTCCAGGACACTCGCCCAAAGGATCATTTTGCTAGGTTATTTTTGGCCTACAATGAACCAAGATTGCGAGAGATATGTCCAGAGGTGCAAGACCTGCCAGGTGTTCTACAAATTTCCAGGAAGGCCTGCAACATACTACCACCTAGTTTCCAATGTTATTTCGTGTGCAAGGTTTGGGATGGACATCATTGGAGCCTTCCCTCAAGCACAAGGGAGAAAGAAGTATGTAATGGTTTTTATGAGACTACTTCACAAAGTGGGTAGAGGCCGAAGCATATGCAACCATTACGACCAAGCAATGTCAGCGCTTCGTTTGGAAGAACATCATCACTCAGTTCGGGTCTCCGCGGAATATCATGATGGATAACAGGCCTCAATTTCGGAATCCAGGGTTCACCAAGTACTTGGAGGACTTTAGGATTACTCACAACAAGCCTTCCGTGGCCTACCTGCAAGGGAATGGACAGGTGGAAAATGTGAACCGTACTATAGTCGATGGTATCAAGAAGCGGTTGGGTGAGGCCGGAACGAACTGGTTAGAAGAGTTGCCACATATCATTTGGGCATACCAGGTCACTTCGAGAAGGGCCACAGGGGAGACACCCTTCGTCCTTACATATCGGTGTGAGGGAAGACTACCCATCGAAACTAAAATAATGACCTTCTGGGAGAAGATCTATGAGGAAAAAGGGAACGAAGAGGACCAGATGGCAGAGTTGAATTTGTTAGAGGAGAGGCGGATGGTCACCGAGGCTAAAATGATCGAATATCAACAAGCAGCCAAGGCCTACCATGATAATAGGGTAGGGCCTCGGTACTTCCAAGTAGGTGACGAGGTCTTGAGACGAAGGGAGGCCAGCAAACAAGGAGACGGGGGAAAGCTCGCAAAGAAATGGGAAGTCCCATATAGGGTCACAGCAATACTTCGCCCTGGGACATACAATTTAGAAACAATGGAAGGTCGAGAGTTGGAAAGGTGCTGGAATTCCCACCACCTTAGTAAATTCTACCGATAGGCCAAGTTGGCAGGGCATGTATTTGTAATACCCTTCGAGGATAAATAAGAGCTTTCTTCAATACTTGTGTTGCTGAGTCAGTAATACTAAAATAAAATGTCTTGATGTAAGAGGCAAGGTCAAAAAAAAAAAAGATAAACCCTTGAGATAGGGGCCTTGATGTTGAGGTATGGCCTTGAGATAGGCTGGGTCTGGAAGAGGACTCGCGTCCACACTTACATGGATCCCTACCAAATTTTTGTTTGGATAGGGGTAAAAAGATGCCAAAATAAAAATTGTTTATCGTCTTGCATGAGCCATCCTTTGCGGATTGAAGGGTCTAGGGAAGACTAGAATTCACTTCAAACGCATAACATATGGACATGTAGGATTGGATGAGGGCTGGTTCTCACCGGCATACCCCCACGTGGGAAGATTGGGTTGGCCAGGTCAACCTAATGATTAGAGAATGGCACATTAAAAGACTTAAAACCTGGAAGAGGGGCCGTGGAAGAGGGCTGAACCTTGAAGAGGGTTCGCGATCATAGGACATGGTCAAAATCTCCAAAGAAAGATCGGGTCTTGATGTTGAGACTTAAGACAAAAACCATTTCGGAATGATTCGTTTGAAATTCGATCAAGGTAGCTGTGGAGCATGACATCCAGGTCAGATGGATATAAGAAAAATGGCATGGTCAAAAGTGACCGGTCACTTTTGGATGTTCTAGATTGACGAGAAAAGGCAGATGGAAAAAATTAGTATTTGACCGGTCAAGTTTGAGAAAAGTGACCGGTCACTTTTCAAAATTTGGATTTGAGGAAATCAGGCAAGTTTGAAAAGTTTGGTTTTGGCCGGTCACATTTTTGACCCGGCACCTGGACAGAAATTTGATGTCATGCTGGTGACGTAACGCAACCAAACCATTGGAAGTTGATCACGACGAATTTAACCTAGACGTTTATTACATTTCAACTTGGAGACCAGGACATGAGATGGCCTAGAAATTTTCAAGCCTTGCATCTAAAATGCTCTTCAAAACTTTCAACCTGGCCTACTAAACCAGGACATGAGATGACCTGGACGTTTGTTGCAGTTCAACCTAGACGTAAGCCGGCCCATAAGACTAGCCAAACGTAAGGTGCCTTGGACGTTTATAGAGTTGATGAAAATAAAGGTTTAGACCTGGACGCTTCAAAACGTACCAGACCTGGACGTTTTCAAGATTACAAGACCTGGACATTTTCAAGAGATGAAATTGACCAGGACATGAAGAGATCTGGATGCTTTCAACAAAGCCTACCAGACCTAGACATTTTCAAGGCGTTATCCAAAGACCAGGACATGAGATGACCTAGACAACTCCCAAGGGATATGACCGGTTATTGTTTTTGACTTGGAAATTAAATCAAGCATGTTCAAGAAAAAAGGCAAGTATAACCAAGCAACTTCAAAAGGTGACCGGGCAAGAAAAACAATCATGCAATAGACAATAACCATGCAAGAAAAGAAGTTCAACCATACAACTGGAAGCAAATATGACTGGTAAAAAAATAAAGGCATGCCAAGAAAATTTAAGCATCATACTAGTTAAAAGTAGGCCGGACATCCCCCAGGCCTTGGGAAAATTTAAAGTTTTTGAATTCAAACCCTAACCTACTCTAGGGGAAAGGGGGGAGCTGGCTCTTCCTTGTATAAAGCCGGTAGTTTCACCTTGGCTGGGTCAAAGGATGGATCCCTCTTTTGGAGCCTGGCATAGAGAAGGGACCTCTCTTCCTTCTGGCCACACTGGAAACCGTATGAACCTATCTTGGTTATCATCTTCTTGCCTTCCGGTTCTTTATACATGGTCTTGAAGAAGTCCATGGTTTCCTCCGTCGTGGTGAGAATAGACCGGGCAACTTCTAAGTGATGGCACGCAGCCCAGTCAGCAGCTTCGGTAGGGAATGCCTCCTCCTTTGACCAGGAAGCCTCCTCAGCTTGGGCTAAAAAAAGCTGGAATGAGATGGGGTTCCTGTTCTTTTTTGTAATAGGGAGGCTCCTCATCATACACCTAGGTCTTTCAGGTTCTAAAACATGTGGACTCTTCACCCTGACTTCTTAGATTTATGCAAAACAAGCTGGAATGAGATGGGGTTTTATGGTGGACACCACTGCCTTTTCACCAAACTTAAGCACCTGAAGCACAAGCTTTCTTGCTGGAACAAGAATAAACTTGGTAATATTTTCTCCCTTGTCAAAGAGGCTGAAGAAGAAGCTAGAATGGCAGAACAAGAATTTGACAATGATCCCAACATCACAAACAAGGAAATACTTAACCTTAAGAAGTCCCACCTGGCTTTTGTCACCAATTTGGAATACACCTTTTGGAAGCAAAAGAGCAATATTAAATGGCTGGCAGATGGTGATGTTAATACTAAGTTCTTTCACAATTTTGTCAAAGAGAAAAGGAGAAAGCAACATATCTCCTGTTTGCTCAACGACAATGGGGAATCGATAAACACAACAAATGAACTAGAGCAACTGATCACCTCCCATTACAACTCCCTTTTCAACAACAGTGAACCATCATGTGCCTCCTCAGATTATGATCAATTTATGAGTGCTATACCCCATGTATTGCTCCAGTCACACAATGAGGATCTTCTCAGGCTTCCCCTTGAAGTGGAGATTAAAAATACACTTTGGGCGATGGATCCTAATTCAGCTGTTGGACCAGATGGTTACATTGTTTTCTTCTTTAAACACTGCTGGGACATCATAAAAAAGGAACTTATCTCAGCCTGCCAAGAAGTCTGGTTGGGAACTCCATTACCTGATGCTGCCACTTCATCCAACCTTGTCCTCATTCCCAAGGTGGATAATCCCAGCAGTGTACATGACTTTAGACCTATTTGCTTGTCCACTGTGACAATCAAACTGGCCTCAAAATGTCTTGCAAACAGACTGTCTAAGTTATTAACCATCCTCATCTCAGAAGAACAGGGTGCATACATGATGGGCAAAGATATTAGTGAACAGATACTTCTCATAAAGGAAATGGTTCACAATCTTGATAGAAAGGCTTGGGGTGGAAATATCATTGTTAAATTGGACTTGTCTAAGGCTTTTGACAAACTGAAGTGGAGCTTTCTATTCGATGTACTCTTGAGATTTGGTTTCTCCAACAGATTCATCCACATTATTCATAACTTGATGAACTCTTCCAAATACTCATTGGTTGTTAATGGAAAACCATGTGTCTTCTTCATTCAGACTAGGGGTATTAAACAAGGGGATCCTTTATCTCTTCAACTCTTTATTATTGCAAATGAGGCCTTCTCCAAAAACCTTAACATGCTCATGAATCATGGTGTCATTGGAAGATACAACTGTG